TAAGAAAGGTAATTAAATTGATTGAAATTTATAAAATGCGTTCAGTTTTAGGAGAGGGATGATACAACCGTCAGAAAAAAAGATAAAAATATTGTTTTTCATGGCTGTATAACGCATTGGTCTAAGCCAAAAACCAACGAGATATGTATATCTTTTCAGAATAAGTTTGACGATTCAGAATAAGCTCCCTTTAAATGAATTTTTAGTGTATTTTTTAGTCTTTGATATGATTGAATACACCAAATTTGCGTAATCAGTCTATGAATAAAGGTATTCTTGTATCAGGTGGGGAAAGAAAATAGCCACAAACCAGTGAAAAAAAGCAACGTTATTTTCTTGTAAGATTCAAATGCTTGTAAATATTGACCCGATCTCTTTAATACTAGCTTGTAGTTGTTTGATAAAGAATGCAGAGAAAAAAAAATTAGGTGTAATTCTGTGTGCAAAGAGGATGAAAATAGGTTTATTTAAAGTTTAAAAATGATTATTTCAAATAAAACGTATGTCTGTTTTTAGAAATGACTGCTTTAAACATCTAGTTAGCCAAATGTACCCAATTACTGTTAAAATTGTTTTTAAAGTTAGAACGCTATTTAAGCAAAAATCTAATGATTATTCGGATCGAACCAATCTGCATATTTCATAAAGATATCAATGACAATTTTCTGATATTATAACAATGCACAATTTCATATAAGAAAACACACTAACAATAGAGGCACTTAGTATCGTTTTGGTAAGGGCGGATGGTGGTGAGTAGTCGGAAAAAATAATTGACAACTTACCTGATAAATTCTTTGACAAGCAAAAAAAAAGGAGTTCAATGAAATTGTAAATGAAAAACGAGATGACCCAAGCATAAATGATAAAAAAGTATAAATTTAAGTTATATTGAATATATATTGTAGGGTAAAAAGAACATTTATATTATAAAATATATTAAATTATCAGTGCAAAGCTTTTATATATATGCATAGGCTTTTTAAAACAGTACATAGACAACTAATTTTTTTTTTTGCATTTTGAATGATCAAAGATACACGATCATATTAAGTTACAAAGTTTTTGTTGCAAAAATTCAAGTTAAAATAGTTTGGTTTTAGTTGAAAGGTGGCCGTATCAAACTAGGGTTCTAAGCTACAGGTTTCCTTTCAAGTCTTCCACCTGCTTCTTACTAACACAATACTTTAAAAAAACAAGTAAGATTGAAGCATGAAAATCGGCCACAAACAGAACTAAGCATATTGAAAAATTACTTTCACAAGTAAGCGTTCAAGAAAAAGCAAATAGGATTTTTCGTGCTGTCTCAAAGATGTTTTCTTTAAATGCACAGATTGCAAGATAAATAGGAATGGTACATTCTTTCAGTGCATATCAGTGCATTTGTTATTCAAATTAACTCATCAAAATTAAAATAGGGATAAATATATAATTATTATTTTGACAGTAACTTGATCCGAAGAGCCATATCACGTCAAGTTGACAGGCGCGGATCATCAGATCAAATGACACGCGAAGCCACTTTACAACTAGCAAAATTAATATAATAAAAGGAAACTTTTTAGATCAATTACATAACTTTTATCTATTAAACAAACCATTTAATCAAGGAACTTTTTGATGAGCGAGAATTAAAACGTCGTTTATCTGTGTACTACGTCATCAGTTTCAGAGAGGGGTGATATGGATTTAGAAAACCATTTTGGTGATCCAGAACGTCGGATCACGTCGTCACGTAATTGCACAAATTCAACAGTAAAACTGAGTGACAAACAGTTGGGTAAATACATGTAATAAATGATAAGATTTTGATGTAATATTCAGATCTTCTGATGACAAAAAGAATAGGGTGAGTTAACCATGCATCGGACACATACCTTGCTTCGGACAACTTTAAGCAATAAACTTTCATTAAACTTGAGTGTCCTCGTGTTTTTACTTGTTTCTATCTTAAAGGTGAAGATTTAAACTTTTTAATGATGCCGATTTTTAGTTTCATGTTGTGATAAAAATACCACAAGAATGACCTCGAAATTACGTCATATTTTGCATCATCATAGGGGAGTAACCAGAATTTTACGATTTTGCAATTTTTAGAGTTGTCGTTCTTTTAAATAGACTTCAACGGAACGAGTCGGACCTAGGTAAATTTTGTCAATGATTGATAATTATAAAGAATTTTTGTAAAAATTTTACTTCAATGTTTGTAGAATATTTTTTAGAGTTGTCTTTTAGTAGTATGTTTATTTCACCGTACATTGGACACAAATTAACAATGCATCGGACACTTTCCGATGCATGGGTAATCACTTCCATTTTCAATAAAGCCCAAATGACAGATGTTTTTTGCGGAAATAGAAAATAAAAACTCTAAATTTTTAGTGAAAATACAAGTTATCGATATATGACAACTAGAAGTGGGCTCAATTTATTTTTTCAAACTGGATGATGATAACCCACGAGACAAAGGCGCGAGATGGCATATTACTAGCATTGTAAAGTCTTTCTAAGGCGATGTGATGCACCTAAATTCTCCTCACATTTGTGGATCGAAATAGTCATTCAAATTTAACTATAAGGTTAATTTTTAAATAAAAGATAATGTTTCGACATTACCAGTTTTAAAGCACCGAGATCACGGTATGATATTTTTTCGTTCAAAATACCGCATGTCCGATGCATGGTGAATATTGTCCGAACGATGGTGAATTCTGACTTATTTAGAAAAAAAAATCGTTTTTAGCGATATTTTCTCAATAAATAGCAAAAATTTATATTTTAACTACATACTACATGTTAAGCTCCATTCTGATAATATTCAGTCGGTAGCGATATCGCTAGATCTTGTTGAAGTGCGAGGGTGTCCGATGCATGGGGAATTCACCCTACATAAACATTCCACCTGCTGATACCCTGCGTCATTGTCACGTGATGAGGCCGATGCTTTCTGCAGAATATGTTGCACGGGGCGGTGGTGGACAACGCAATTATCACAAATAAATAAAAGGTGAAGAAATAAATTATCGTTGTAATATTTGACTTGCAGCTGTACCATACTGAACGGGGCGGTGGTGGACAATGCAATTATCACGAATAAATAAAAAATGAAGAAAAAAATGTGATTTGATTCGCAGCTGTAGTATATTAAAAACAATTCTTATTAGTTCTTAACTACCAATTTTTTCAACCTTTATTCCTCACTCCTGCCACTGTAATATTAGTATCCAGAAAATCTAATGATTTGCGTTAATATCGAACACACTCCCGTGTTGGGATTACCTATTGTTATCTCTTTTTATAAAGTCATGAATTAATAATTATCTGATGAGAAAATGAAAATAAAATTGACAAATATAACAGCAATTAAGACAATTTGAAAGCATATTTAAAAAAAAAAATAATTTACTCATAATTTTAATACATGTTATCATAATCGAATTATTTAACCGAACAAATAAACAAGACATCTTTTTTTCCCAATGTGCACTTTTTAACACGACAACAAAAAGAGATCGGCCCCTCCAGCCGCCGATAATAAACTTTTTTGAAAGGTGTAATTTTAAACATTTTAATAGTGATGGGTTGAAGTTTATGATCCATATCTCTTTTAAACACATACGGACTTTAAATAGTTTGAATTCTTTGTAAAGCCGTGTTTTTTTTAAATTCTTTTTTTATAACATTATATTGGGAAGGTCGTACGAGGTAGAGCGCTTACCAAGGAAAACATCAGATAAACATGACAGAGACTGCATAGATCCACGACCATGCATCATTCATTATATTTATAATCATACTTTAATGGGAATATCATACTTGATTGACCTTTTCGTCATAAAATGCGATTTTGGGTCTGAATAAAATATTGATGTTGATATTTTTTCCCTCAAAAACATTAAACACAAAATATTCAGCAATTCAGCACTGAAGAATACAATTTTATACGACTAACACATTTTAAATTGATTAATATAATTTCATATGTAAATCTCATACTCTCTTTAGTTTAGTTAGACATGTACATGTACAACTTACTTTCATATATCGGCACATTGCATTTCTGGAAACAAGAACCTTGAAGGTTGCCACTTCAATAGAAATGGCACTTAGATTTTTTATAGTCCATCAAAGTTTTAAATTCTTACACTTTCAGCCAACCTGGAGGATAAAATTTCCAAAAAAAAAAATCCCTTCCGTATAAGTTTTTGCTGCATTTTACGATTCTAAAATCTAGTGTAAACGGTACTTAATATTGTTAATTTGAAGATTTTTTTAGGACAGGCACTAACAAGTTTCAAAATACTCTAGATAGAAACTGATATACAATCGTAGCAATAAACGATTATTTTCAATGATATGGGAGGACATTTTAAAAGTAATATTGTGTGAGACTTCTAGTGTATTTTGAATAATATTCTTATTAGATTACCACAGATAACATTTGGAAGTACAGTGATAAAGTGTGGTATAGGACAAAACTTGATAGTTTTTAATCATTAAAAAAAATTACTAGATCGAAAAATTATTAAAAATTATTTTTTTTTCGGCGCAGCATGATTCTGAAACAGCTATTACTTTTCCAGTAAAATGGTTACCTTTCGTTAATTTTTTTGTCGATTAAAAAAAAGGGGGGGGGCAGAGTATTACGATTCCTCCTATATGTTACTTGGATGAGTGGCAAGCGGATAGAAATTAAATTATATTCACTAATAAAATAACGTATGGCAACATACACGATGAAATATACATGTACCGGTAGGCATGTTGATAAAATATTGTATGCTGATAAAATAGCACTCTATGTTGCTTTGACGAAACACTGCATTAAAAATACATTAAGCGGTCTCATCCAAAAAACCGGTCTCCACGCCTTACAGTGGGATTTGAACCCGCCACGTAAGGATCAATTCCTTACTCCGCGACTCTAGAGCAGAAGCTCTAACCACTGCACCATGCGGGCGACTCACAAATACGTTGTTTTAACTTCTACCTCTGGTTACTGTTATGATTAATGGGCAACTGTCAGGATTGGTTAGATGAAAAGAATATGTCTCTATTTAGCTTAAACTGAGGGCAAATTGTTTGGCCCTTAAAGAAAACAAACAAAAAAGAAAAGCTGATTGAGATTTTTTTAAATTACGTATTAATGGAATCAGTATTGAAACAAAGACAAGTATCAACAATTTAGATATACCTTTCTACATGTACATTCTGCCTGCTATTTGGTGAATAAATTCTTTAAAATGTTATCAAAAAGCCAAATAAAGGAGTCGGAATTAAATTTCTTTTGAGATATAAAATAGCTGTCTATGTCCTATGTCAATGATATATTCACATTAATTCTATGCCATTTGTACTATTCTCATTCTTGTTGTTTTGAAAGTATTACAAAAAAGAAAGAAAAAAGAAAAAAAAAGAAAATCAAGAGGCGCAAGGACCTTAACGGTCGCCTGAGTACAAAACAACATTTTAGAGGATTCGTAAAGTATAAAATAAACTGACAGATGAAGCTTTGTTGCTCAAAAACGAGAGAAATAGGGTGATCAGAATCAACAAAATAATTTTTCTAGTATCTATCAAAATATCTATTTTTGACCCCATTTCATTATCTCTAACTTTAGCCTCTCTACGTTTTTTGAAAAAAAAAAATAAATAAGAAAAGTTATTTTTGTCTCATTTTTATCTATCTGTTATTTACTAGTCTACTGATAATTGAAACTATAAAAGTACTTTATGTGAAATACATGGAGATAACGAAGAGCATTCAAGCTCAAAGTCAATCAAACAATACAAATTTTGGAGCAAAGCAAACAATCAGAGGTAGGATCAGGTGCCATGGAGGAGTGAGCATCCCCTGCCAATCGGTCACACAAGACGTGTGCTCCTTGTTATGATCGGGTAATAACGGAAAATCCGTCGACAATTCAGTGTCTAAATGATGTCAGTCAGCATTTGTTTTATAAAATAAAAATTCTTGTGCTTCTCACCTTTCAAATTCATTATTTACAGTTCTTCGAGATAATCTATTGTAATGTTTGTTTTAAAATTTACAAATGTATGTTGTGAAAAAGGTTGTTAAGGATTCTTAAAGAAAATACATCTGAGTATCAGGATACTTGATCAGAATTACATTTTTTTTACTGGTCATACTGAAATCACCACAATTACAACACAATTAAACATATATAAATAATCGTTTATGTTCATGCACAAGCAATTTCTTTTTACTAAAGTGAAGGAGCCTGTTCCAGCTTCACAATAAATTCATTGGTTTGACAATTTCAATACCATGATATTTTTTTTTTAATTCACTGGAATCCTTTTTTTCATTTTAATTAAAATGGTATCTTAAATTTCATCAATAATCTTTCGTTTAAAAGCTCTTTTCACGAGAATCTTTCTTCATCTTTTACATTAAATTGACATTGTATCACCAGGGATTAGCGCTGCATTGAAAATTGAAAAATGCCATCAAAAATGCTCTTCCTCGTTTTTCTTAATTTCTTTTACTTAATATTCTTTTCATAAAAAAGCATTAGACCATTAGATATACAGGATAAAACATCACAAAAGTTGTTGAAATATTCAACTCCTTATGGAGTTTGTATATATGCTGGATAAAACTGGTTTTCTCTAAATTCAAACTGTAAATTTCAGTGATACCAAACTTTCAGCAATTATTTTGCTAATTTTAGAGAAGCAACGAATAAGATAAAAAAAAAAAAAAAAAGTTTATTTTTAATCAGAGTGGTACAAATTTTGATCAACTTATTTAATACTTAAATTACGGAAAAGGATAAATACCAATCCACATACTTTTCTCTCTTTTATCAACTGATTCACGACAGGAATGTATTTTAACCTTTTTATTTTTTCCCACTTAAACACAAGACCGAAAAAAATGTCTTTCTGAAAGATTGGTATCAATGGAATTTACATATTGAATTTAAAGCTTGACTTGCTTGGAGACGACCTGTCAAAGCGAGATCTTCATTATACATGTATGTTACACTGTACATTGTATTATTTTTTGCAGACAATTTTGAAAATCGTTATGTAAAATGTAGTTTTAACTTGAATTTAAAAAAAAAAAAAAATCGGCAAGATTAAAAAAAAATGATATTGGTCATCGTATAACTATTGTTGTGTTTTATTTTTTAAGTTCAAATTAACTACATTCGTGGAAGAAAAATATATAAATGGAACACAAAGTGCCTTTACCACAACTGATAAAGGATTAATATGTAGCAGCAGGGAGAACAGACTAAGCTTTTAATTTTAGGAAAAAAATGCATTTTTTATCTTCAAAATGTCATCATATTTTTTTTTTTTAACAAAGCTTTAAAAAACTTCATAAAATTAAGATGTTTTTAAGAATTCTTTATTAAAGAATTACAATCAAAATTTTAACTATATTAATGTCCTTTTGTTTACAATTATATAAATACCACCTCGGTTTTATATGGTCTCCACGTCCCACAGTGGAATTGAACCAGCGACGTATGGATCAACTCCTTACTCCACGACTCTAGAGCGAACGCTCTAACCACTGCGCCATGCGGGCGACTCCAAAGATTTGTCATTTCAGCCTTATCATGTCACATTTTGATGTCAATTAAAATGTACAATTCTAGACAATTGCTATTTTTTTTTTTAGATACGTTTTGTCTATTATGCTGTACGTCTAGATATTCATATATGATGCAATCCATAATATGTACCAGAAAACGTAATCATATAGATAATATCAAGATTTTCTACCTTATAGTTCATAAACATGCAACGATACTGGTAAAATTTCTATATCAAGCAAATCCTTCTGACTTTCAAAGGGTAGATTTACGTATCACACAACATTTTTTTTTATTGTTTACGTAAATGTAGAGGATATAATCAAAAGAAATACGGAGAAAGTATGAATTGCTTCTTTATATAAAAATACTACAGTCAACTAATTATTTTTTAATAGAAAGGTATGGATCATGATAGGAGCGAACCATGTGACTGTTTATTCTTATTTTTGATTGAACTGAAAAAGTATCAGGAAAAGAAAAACCCAAAGGAAAACAAGGAAATTTATTTATATAGATATATCAATCTTTTATCAGTTTCTTTCTCTTACTTACTGTTACTACGTGTTTTTTAAATTCTATTTATTTATTTATTTATTTATTTATTTATTTATTTATTTATGTATTGCAATTTTATTAAATTTTCTCTTTGGAAATTAGAAAAAAAATTCTTACCTCCTTATGTTGAACAATACAAGAACACTAATATAGCCTGCTGTCCAAAGGAAAAACCGGAAGACTTTTGCAAGTTTTTAAACAGGTGTAGGTTTTATGAATAAAAAATCAGCTCTGACTAACTGCGCATTCAAAATAAAGCACCTTTGGTGACTCGGCAAGGTTCACTGGAAACCCATGATCCCTTTCACGCATATCTTTGCAAATGATATCCTACAGCATAAAAATGAATGCACTCATCTGACAACTGCATACAGGAAAAAAACAGACTACATATTCAGTTAAATCTGCAATTGCATCTTGAAAATATTGATATAAAATTCAACAGTCATCACATTGTGCAAATGCAAATGATATAAGTACATGTTTACATGCTCGTTATTTGTCCACAATTATAATGCGCTTACAATAGAATAATAAAACCGGTCATGATACAAATAAGAGGTAGCATTTTTGCAGATGAATCTCGTTAAAAAATCATTTTTGATACCAGCTGGAAAAGAAGTAAGATGCGCTTCACTGAACTGTAAAGTTGAAATCAACATCCATTCATAGTGTTAATTTTCAATTACCCATCAAAGAAAGAAGTTGAATTCAAAAGTAATACAAGAATATAGGTAACTCTTATTTATTTTACGCTTCAATATTCTTGTTCTCATTAAGAGTGAATTATGTCAAAATTTAATTACGCTTTCTCTGATGCATCATTGCACGCAAATGCACAAATGTGGTGAAGTCATTTCTTTATTTTTTGATTAAAAAATGCCATTATCCCTTCCTTGCATAATTCTGCAAAATGGTTTATCTTTTAATTATTATTATTTCACATGGGTCACATGACATCGGGATACATACTTCCAAGGAGAATGATAAGTAGTTTGCAAATTAAAAAAAAAAATCCTAACATTATTCGCAGAATTTATGTATTCAAATGAATTGATATTTAAATAAGAATGCATGCTTCATGCTAGAAAAATCGATACATGCATCTACCGAGCTTGATAGGTATCAAGAAATGTACCTGGTAATCTTCTTATCTCTAGCATGACACACACGCCCCATGTGCTATTTTTTTGATGAGTTTCACTGAATATATAAGCCCATATTTGCCTTGATTTTACATGTTTTAGAAACAGAAAGACGATTGCATTGTGTTTCATTTAGACCAGCGATCGACAACTTTCTATTTCATTTGTTCGATAATCATATGGTATGCTAATTTTATCTGCACGACGGCTTCAAGACTTCTTAAGATTTGCGCTAACTTATCAAAAATTGTCAAAGTAGATTTAAGGATAAAACTTTATTATGCAAATATCATCATGTATAAAATAGAAACATGAATATACTGACTTTACATTCATAGAAAGTTTTTGTAAAAAAAATAACCGCAAACGTTTCGGGACTTGGTGATCATGGGGCATTCGAAATGACCATGTTTGTAAAAAAAAAAAAAAAAAAAAAAAAAAAAAAAAAAAAAAAAAAAAGAGCATTTTATTACATGTAGTTTATTTCTACCAAAAGAAAGCGATCTGTTATAATAAATGAAGTATTTTTGCAACTTTCGCAGTCAACTTCAAACTGTGTTTACTGATCTTGTAGGGAAGGCTTCCCCCCTTTAAAATCCCCCTCCGGGAAACTGGCTCTAATGTAGGTTTTTCCCTGTCCAGGTTACTGCAAAATAGGCTGTAGAGTAGAATTACCCCACGGTAAAATGACTCTAGAGGATTTACCCTACGAATATCCCACACCAGATTATATTTTTCTGGTTGAAATCCTCCCTTGTGTAATAGTTATATAGTGCAG